AAGTTTGCCTCCATAATTAACTTAAAAATATTTATACCAACTCCAAAAGGAATAAACATTATTTTTTTTTGGTGAATTTAATATCACGTAGCTATATTTTAAAGAAATAAACATTTAAATTAGTTAAAAACTAGAAAATAAAAATTGTCCTCGATTCTAGCCCTAATTTAATATTTCGATCTAATTTATTGTACAATCAATCTAACTAGAATTCTAGTCTTCCCTAGTTATATCCCTTAAATAAAATATGAAAACATTTCATTAACTAAATTAATTAGTTTTAAGACATATTTGAGAATGCTTTTAAAATAGCTTTTTTTTTCATATTTAAAATCAATCTCAAAATCTACCTACAAAATTTTAAAATTAATTATTATCCTATAAAAACTTTGATTAAAATTAAATGTTAAAATGACGGATTCTCGATTAAAAAAAATCTTATTCCTTATAGATAAAATTATAAATTAAATAATAGCAAAATGTTACATTTTTCCCTGGAAATAAAATTAATTTTGTAGGGTTATATAAAATTCAAATGTATATTGAATGGATAAATTAATTTTAAATTTGTTTAAATTAGATTAAAAATAAAATATAAAAATTTATGAACTTATTAAATATAAAATTGAAAAATATACCCTCTTAAAAATTTAATAAATACAAATATCAAAACTATTTTAAAATCTTAAAGAATTATTTAAATGTTAGGCATTAAGATTAATATTTTGCTCTCTATATATAAAAACAAAAAAAATATTATAATTTCTAACCAAGTCGGGCAATTTGGCCTTTTAAACCCTAAGAAAATCCCATGCGGGGCCAGAGAGGAAGCGAAGGTGTGTCGTGTGTGTTTGGTTCAGTTCTAGCTTCTGCTTCCACATTCGATGATGGAGCTCCATTGCGCATTTCTCCACACATCATTCTCTTTCCCTATCAGAGATAGAATTCCTGCTCATGGAGACGCCTCCGCTGCCGTCGCCTGCTCTCCTTCTTCGTCCTCGCTTTCAAGAATTCCAGCTCGAAATTTTTCTATGGGTTCTAACACTATAGGTAACGAACTCTGAACTTTGTTAAAGTTTCCGACGAGTTGCGAAGATAAGACCATGAGATTGCTATCTTTGTTCATTATATTGTTGAATTATTCACGACTTAGAAAATTGTCATCAGATTTTCTCGAGCACAAAATTGGATTTGGAAATTTGGCCTTAAATTTTGTTTTGTCTGTCTTGTGCGTGTATAGCTGTGCATTGGTCTTGATGTCGAATATCTATTGTTTCAAATTATTGATTCCTGATAGTTCGTGTCCCAACATCTTATCAAGCTTCATATTGACTTGGCAGTCACAAAGTGAATGCGAAGGCAGTATGAATTGTTTTGAATTGTAGAAATTTGTTACTTTGCTAGTTTATCTTGTATTAGAAAATATGATCGGGTGAAGTATTAATAATTTATATCTTGCTAGTTTAAATTGTAACAACGTTTTTTTTTATCAACATAGAGTGAAATATTAATAATTTTGTTGAATACCAGAGTTCCGCTCATTGGTTTCTCGAGTTAGACTGATGAAATCATCCTGTTCTGCCGTTGTCAGAGGAGAGAGTGCAGTACCTAGTGAATGCAGTTCAGAAACCATTGATTCTTCGAATTCAACTCCAACTCGCAATGGGCCAGTGGGAAATGTTCCAAATGCAAAAGATGGCGTGGAATGCTTGGATCAGCATAAAATGACCAAAGTGTGTGACAAGCTTATTGACGTCTTTCTGGTCGACAAGCCAACTCCAACAGATTGGAGACGGTTAATTGCTTTCAGCAAGGAATGGGACAGTATCCGACCCCATTTCTTTAGAAGGTGCCAAGATCGAGCTGCCTCCGAGGATGATCCTGGGATGCAGCATAAGCTACTCCGGCTAGGAAGAAAGCTGAAAGAGGTCAGTCTTGGGATCTTAGAAAAAGGGTAAAAAAACTCTTGTTTAAATGACCTTGTTTTGATATTTAAAAAAAAAAAAAAAATCCGCAAATAAGACGAGTGTAAGCTAACATTTCGTATGCCAACAAGGTCAATCATCAGTTCTATTGGTGTAGAGCCACAAGGTGTGTTCCTCGGGGAACAATCAAAATGAAGTGTTTCGTACTTGATTATTTTATGATCACATAGTTGCAATATGTGAGTTGTTTATCATGTTTTTTTTCCCCTTTAAAAATTTTCACAGATTGATGAAGATGTGCAGAGACACAACGAATTTCTTGAGGTGCTCAGAGGAGCAGCACCATCAGAACTTGGTGAAATTATTTCGAGGCGTCGTAAAGATTTTACAAAAGAATTCTTTGTTCATCTTCACACAGTGACTGAATCTTATTATGATGATCCAACTGAGCAAGATGGTATTACTGCATACTTTTTAGTCTGCAAAATACTTGTGAACTTTTCTTGTTGATAGTAGTGAATAAATAGCTGCCTAAGTGGTTGGGGGAAGCCTAATTCAGGGAATGATCCGCAACCTAAGCGTAGCTTGATTGTTTAAGGTTTTTATACATTTATAATTAGTTCGTCTCCCTACAAAAATTGGAATCTTCTCTTTATTTTTAAGTTTTTGAATGTCGTCTTCTTTCGTTTGCAAAATGTGTTCTTTTTTTCTATAATATATGGTATTGATATGCTTGAAGTGATATTTTTTTCGCTTATATTTCAATTGATAAGCTCTGGCGAAGCTTGGGAACTCCTGCCTGGCTGCTGTACAAGCATATGATGCCGCAACTGAAAACATTGAAGCACTAGATGCCGCAGAGTTGAAATTCCAGGATATCATCAATTCTCCAAATTTAGATGCCGCTTGCAGAAAGATAGACAGTCTGGCGGAGAAAAACCAGCTTGATTCTGCATTAGTATTGATGATTACAAAAGCTTGGTCTGCTGCAAAGGAATCGAACATGATGAAAGACGAGGTAATGCATTTGCTACCCTTGCTGTTTGCCTTTGATACAAAAATGTGGTTTCATGGTCTTATTTTCCGACCATTTTAGAAATTCCAATGACTGTGCGAAGTTTGTAATTACTGAAACTAACGCTTTCAAATAGTGGTTTCTGTTTGAACGAAACTACGATAGCTTAAGATACCGAAGAGAGAAAAATACCAATTTGGTCCCATGATTTCATTAGTTTCTATATTGAGTCGTATGAGCATTTAGCAAATGAGGGCACGTTTAATCGATGTCCTGTTGTTTCATATTTACTTTTCGATGGTGAAAGTGTTGGTGTTACTTTTATTGGCGCAGGTGAAAGACATACTATACCACTTGTACGTGACTGCAAGCGGTAACCTTCAAAGATTAGTGCCAACAGAAATCAGGATTCTGAAGCATCTTCTTACAATCGAGGATCCTGAGGAGAAGCTAAGTGCCCTGAAGGATGCATTTACCCCTGGCGAAGAACTTCAAGGACAAGATGTAGACTGCTTATACACGTATGCTTTCTCACCTCATTGTTAAGAATATATTGAAATATTTAGCATGCCATAATCTATGAGCGTAAACCCAATATGATAGCAGATTAGGGGGTTCAAAGCTTCCATGTTCCAACCCTTACAGTGCTATTTTCTTATCTATTATACTCAAAGTTTCTTATCTATTATACTCAAAGTTTCTTATCTATTAAAACAGTGATTTTAGTGAAAACGATTTGTTTGTAAGTAATTCATTGAGTTCGTTGGCTACGGAGGCGTTCCAACCATTTGATTTTGAACGTGACAAAAGTGCTAAATATAGTTTAAATTTATTATCAGTGATTTAACACTCCCTGCCATCGTTTTTTTTTTTCTTAAAACACTTTTAGGACTCCAGAGAAGCTTCACGCGTGGATGAAGACAGTGTTGGATGCTTATCATTTCAGCCGGGAAGGCACCCTCATAAAGGAAGCCAGAGACCTTATGAACTCACAGGTCATCGTAAAACTTGAGGAATTGAAACATCTCGTTGAGAAAAATTTTATGTGAGGTAAATTTATGTCTATTAGATTCTGCAAATTTTGAAATTTTTAAAAATTATTTTATTGATCTTAAATTTTTTGTGTAATGAAAACTTATAACCTTAAATTTTGTAATAAATTTGTGAATTTTAAAAAATTAAAAAATTTAAGAGATTAAACTTATAATTTTTAATGATGGATTGACGTTGATTTTATATAGAACTAAACTAAAATAAGTGAAATTAAAGATCTAATTGAAACATATTGGGATCGAGTTTTTATGAATTAATGTTGCTATATTGACTATTATATCAAGAACCAATTATAATTGAGCAAAGAGTAAAAGATTCGCAATTAAATTCTATCGACCATTTCTTTTCTTTGGGCTTATCTCTTATAATTTCCAAAATTATATATAAAACCTTTGGTATCTGTTTGTTTTTTTTTTTAAATCTTTGACATCTTAATCTATATAATTAAAAAAAAAAAATGATCTCGTGATTGTTACTCAAAAGATTCAATTCCTTTAATATTTTATTAATATATTAGGATTTAAAATAAATGTGGATCCGAAGGCTTAACTCTGTTTTTCTTAAATATTCATCAAAATTAATTGTGATATTTTGTAAAAATAATTAAAATGGCAACTGAAATTATTTAGATCAAATTATATGGGCGTTTCTTTGAACTTGTAAGATTATATTTATTACTTAATATTTTGATGGACAATCTCGTCAATTAAAAGCTTGCACGACACAATTACGATAAAGTTAGGATTAAAAAATATATATATGTAATAATTAAATAGATAATCTTGCTAACCTCCTGGCATAATTAAATTGGTGAAAATATTATTTCGTTGAAATAGAACATAAAAAATAATATTAAAAAAAAAAAAAAAAGGAAACCCGCGGGGAAACCTCTAATCTAACCCATTATTTATCTATTCGAAGCGACATTCGAGTTTCCAGACGATCATCTCCCGCGGTTTGAGCTTCCCTCCTTCTGGCTTGACTTCTCCTTTCAAATTTGAAATTATCGTTCCCAAACCTGGAGGATCATCGTCCGATTCAATAGCATGATTTCAACTGATCGACGATGAATCGGAAATTCTGCAATTGCGCTATCTGTGAGAATTCTAGTCAAGCTTCCATTTGCGCCGTTTGCGTCAATCACAGGTATGGACGTTCTTTGAGATTGTAGTTAAACTCCCTGCTTGACTAGAAGAGACGTTTGTTGTATTCATCTTTTCGGTTTCGATTTTTCGGCAGGTTGAATGACTACAACTCTGCGTTAAAATTATTGAAAGCTCGGCGCGATTTGTTGTATTCGAGGTTGAGCGACGTACTTGTGGCAAAGGTTTGATGCCGTTCTTGCTTGTTTGTCGCTCTCTTTGATTTTCTTCTTGTTTGAGGTTCAACTATCGTAAATTTGTTTTCGGAAACTGATGTGCCAAATAACCGACGAAAGCACCTTGGTGAAGTTGCGATTGCTGTAAACTGATGACGAGATTACCGATGCCTTTGTTTACCGAATAATTATTTTGTTATTTCACCTATTTTACAAAGCATTTGATGATTTGAATTTACTTCGGCTTCATGTTGTTCGATTATTGCTGGTTCTGTGCTGTTGTAGTGAATAGTATTATTTATCTATACAATGTACTTGTGGAGCAAATTGCTTTTGTCGAGAAATTGAATATGAACTATTGTTCTCAGGGGAAGGCAGACGATCAATTAAATTGGAGAGTTACTCGGAATGAGAAACTTACTAGGTTAAGGGAGAAACTCCGGCGCAGTAGAGAGAAACTCGAGCAAGGTTTCTGAACTTCCATAAGAACTTTTTAAAAGCAACGTAGTCACTCAGATGTTTGCCAAATTATGTAATGAGCAAGTGCTTATCAAATCCAATAAATTATTTTATGAACACAGGAAAGACAGAGATTGAGTTGACGTCCTATGATCTCAAATTGAAATATACGATGCTTGAATCAGCTCGTTCTGTGGTACTCCGTTTAGTTATTTTCAGTTCACACTAGTTGTATTTCCTTTCTCCCTTCGATTTAAGTATTCCATAAGCATGGTTCTTTCTGGAATTTCTGTTGCAGTTGGAAAAACAACGAGTTGAACAACTGGAGAAAGCCTATCCCGACCTTATTAGCACCAAGAATCTGGGACATGTATAACCTATATTCCCTTTTTTATATGGACCTTCTTTTTCAGCCTGTTTTTTGATGGCCGATTCTTTTCATATATATTTGCATAATATACTTGTGTACATGTTTAGGTTAAAAAAAAAAAAAAATGCATGTTTGAACGTATATAAATGTAGGCCTACATGACAAATGACCTTGTGAAACTATACTTGGTACATAACACGGTGTTATGTTTTTTTTCACATTCAACCATGCTTTTATACTGGAGATCAATGTTGTCCAAGTACTTTTCATTCTTTAGTTGGACCTCTTTTGCACATGACTTAATGCGTAATGCAAAAGTGTTTTATGGAGACAGATGGCAATTACCTCTGAACGCCTTCACAAACAATCCTTGGTTGTAAAACAAATGTGCAAATTGTTTCCACAACGTCGGGTACGCTCTTATCAGCAAGTACAATTTCTGAGTGCTTATTACATGCTACCTACTGCTGTTGGTTCCTAATGAACCATCTTTTTTCTGTAACTCGATCACATGTTGTACGAAAGACACCTAATTATCCAAATATTTTAATATATTATTTCAATATCAAAAGAAATATTTTTGAAATTATTCAGAAATTATCAGGTCTGCGTACTCGAATCTTTCTGCTTTTCTTTTCTTTTCTTTTCACCTTAGGAAGTTTAACTTTTCCTCTATTATGAGTATGGAGAGTTGAAACTGTTAATACACCATTCCTTGAGTTAGTGCAGTGCTTCATTTCGAAGGAATCTGAGAGGATTCTTATAGGAAAAACTACAATTCCTAAGTTCTGCATAACAAGGGATTGAAATATTCTGCTTGCATATGAAATAATGGTCTCCTTTAGCCCTCTGCCACATATTTAAAGCTAAAAGTTTAGTTAGTTTAAGCCATGGCCTAAGACCTTATAATTATCAGAGACATCTATTTATTGATAAAATTACAAAATAGATTGGGGTAAAAATTTTGGGCAGTAGTATGCATGATCAAACTAAAAAATATTCATTTTTTTAGTTTCTCAGTCCATTAATTTAAGAAATATTTTCATCAGGACAAGAATAATTTTTGTTTGCTGATGAATGCTTTGGTGTTCTCCCAAATTTGTCTACATTCAATCTATTATCATAGGTTTTAGTTCATGGAGAGAACAAAGAGGGACCAAGCGAGCAATTTGATCAAATCTGTTATGTGAGCTTACCAAGAGGACTGGATCCGCATTCTGTTGAGCCACACGAGCTTTCAGTTTCTTTGGGGTAACTTCTTCTCTGTATGATGGTTGACTTGTGCATATTTATGGTTTTATCTCTATGTTGCCACACGGTTAACTTGTGCATATTTATGGTTTTATCTCTACGTTGCCACACAGGTTTTAATATAATTATGCTACCTTATATTCTTACTATTGGGGTTTGCTGTCTCATCTTCTGAAGTCCTAACACTCAACTGTTAAGGGCTTCTTTCTGCCTTCAATTATAATTGAATGTTTTTTTCCATCTAATTGAAGTCTATTTGGCTTAACTGGCAGATACATGGTGCAACTTCTAAATCTTGTCGTTCAATATCTGGCTGCTCCTGCACTTCACCACTCGGGTTTTGCAGTACGTCCATCTTGCTGGATTTCTCTCTATGATGGCTCTATCAAAATATTTGACCAAAAAAAAAAAAAAAGTTGTGGCTTATCAAAAGTCACTGAAATTATTTTGCTACTTCTTTGTGTTTTTAATCATGGGTTGGTTAAGGTTGGTAAACTTCTATTGATAATTTTGATGATGGTTTTATTGAACATGGGAGTTGTGGGTAAGGATAACTGATAATTATGGCTACAAAACTCTTCTTTGTGTCTGGAGCTATGACGGGTTTAGTAGATTTACATTATACGAGAAGAAATGGTTTCATCTATATGTCATTCAAATTTAAATTAATCATATTCTGGTTTTCATTCTTGTATGTTAGTTGGGACACATCTCCTTTTGTTTTCATTCACCCATGCTTAATATTGCAGGGTTCTTGTTCACGCATATGGCAAAGGGATTCATATTGGAAAGCTCGTCCATCTTCCCGAAGGTGAGTTGGTTGAATTTGCAACCTGATCACCAAATCTTATTTCTTAACTTTTTGATTGAAGGTGATGAATTTTACAGCAATGAGTATCCACTTTTTATACCACGTCAAACCTATAGTTCAACAAGTGGGGAAAATTCATGGTCTGATAAATGCTCTAGCAGCTTCGGTGTTGCTTCCTTGGAATCGGAGAGGAAATCACATTTAAGTTCACTAGAAAGTAGTAGCTTCAGTTATCCGTCCGCTCCTCCACATTCTATAGAAACGCACAAGAATTTGCAGAAGGGGATTGCCCTCCTCAAGAAAAGTGTAGCATGTGTCACCTCATACTGCTATAACTCTCTCTCTTTAGATGTTCCTTCTGAAGCTTCTACTTTTGAAGCATTTGCTAAATTATTGGCTACTCTTTCTTCATCCAAGGAAGTGCGTTCTGTTTTTTCCCTCAAAATGGCTTCTTCCAGGTATTTCCGTCCCATTTTTCACTTTTAAGGTTCTTGCTGGTATTTGAACTTGCTTCACCATGTTCTGTTTATTAAACAAGAAATGGAAAAATGTTGTCATGTAGATAATTATTTTTAGCCACACAGCTTACCCTGACTGATACGCATGGTTATATCTTCTAAACTCAAGGCCCCCTAAGCACGTTCAGAAACTGAACAAGTCTGCATGGACTGTTAATTCGATTTCATCCACCATGCTGTTCGAGAGTGCACATTCACAAATAATGGTATGAATTTTTAACTTGACGTTGTTTTAGTGTGTTGCTTGCATCAATAAGTTATTGGGGTTTTTCCCCATCTATTATTAAAGAATTTATGGAATTTTAAATAAATGGAAAACTACCATTATTGTCTCCCTACTTTTTAGATGACTCATTTGATTTTTCTTTGAATTTTGTTAGTTACCATCATAATTGATCCATCATGTTAAAGGGTAATAAAGCTTTCTCAGATTAACTGGAGTTGCATAACAAAATTATCCCGTACTCCAAGACTTCATTGTTATTTCTTCTATATTGTTGCCACATCTACTCTGTCTCGTCATCCTTGGTTATTCATACTCTTATTTCTGTTCCTTTATTCTTTTCCCAAATGCAAAATCAACGAAACCCATGAATAAAAAATAGAGAGAATGAACAAACTTGGTGGAAAAGTTTGCACCCTTAGATAAGCACAAGTGTAAAGGATCCAAGGAAAATTTTACACCCTTAGTGTAGGTGAAGTGCAACTCCGATTTCTTTTTCTTTTTTTTTTTCCTTTTGTAGCATTGTTGATACATTAGTTTGAATCAATGCAAGGGGATTGGGGGAGGTTGGAAGAAAAGTAATGAACGGAGGAAAAGTTGAGCAAGGAAAGAATGGTGATGGGTTCGCTTGATAGGAATAGGCAGAATAGGACCCTTCTTTAGATGATCTGGAGGGAAACAGAAAAAACTTACGTGCTAAGAGATCGTGGTAAGATAAGACATTTGGGACTGTAAAGGTTTGGTGGCTTCATCTTGGAGTTCCCTCTCTTCATATGCTTTCGTTAGCTATTCTATATTTATTATTCGACTTCCAACTAAAAGTGTTTTTGTAATTCCATGTGTTTAATGAAACGGTTTTGCTTTCCCTCTAATAACTTCTTTTTTGGAAAAAATAAAAAAGAAGTTGATAATACAAAGTAGAAGTGGGAAGATTACCTGGATAAATTGAAAAAGTGGTTTTGCTTTCCCTTTATTTTTCGTTCTCTGGGGACTATCTATGCTGCACGTATTTAACAAGCGATTCTACTATTTTATTTATTTATTTTTTTTTTTGCATATCTGCATGAAGGACTTGGTTTTGTTATTTCAATTTTTGTCTTAATGCAGAAAACCAATTGTGAGAGTAACCTTCCAAGTTATCTTTATGCCACCGAGTTTTCTGATGCTGGAAAGAATGATTGCACCATTGAGGAATGGGACTTTATAGAGCATCCAACGCTTCCTCCACCACCATCTCAATCTGAAAATATTGAGCATTGGACTCGAGCAATGATCACCGATGCCACCAAACAGTAATTTAATGGTAACTAAACTAAGACTGTTTTCTAATTTTTAAAAGTTGCCACCAGTAAGTGATGCTATTACAACTCATTTACATAGAAACACCCAATTTAACTCATCTCAAGCTGTTTGTTTTTCTTATGAGCATGCCCCAAATTTCTCAGTCCAATGCTGTTTCTATTTTTTGGATTATGATTTGAAAAATACCCATATGAATTGTCTTGCTTATAGTAGCCTAGCAGTTCAATGTGGATACAAAATACGATGTTGATTGCTGTTGCACTTTTGAGATCAAAATACCAGTTTGGTTTTTGTACTTTTAAGTCTGACCTAATTTTAGTTTAGATACTTTCAAATATTCAATTTTTTTAGTTTATATACTTTTAAATATTTAAATTTTTGTCATTGTACTTGCAATAAATCTCAAAATATCAACACTTTTGCAACAAAGAAAACAAAGTGAAACAGAAAGACAGGGAAAAGGAATAGTATTTTTGCATTAGGTCCAAGGCTGGGAGCATTAAGCCCTTTGTTTTATTATTTCTTTAACTCTTTATGGTCCATGTAATATTTTGTATCACATCAGGTATATGGAGATAGCATGAGAAATAGAAGGGGATTTGGAACTACTCAATACACAATCAGCTTTCGACCTGTAAATATGAAGACTTCCAAAAGGTGTACATCCCTCAACATGTTTAGGTTTAGGATAACTTTTATTATTCCATCATACTAGCCAATAGTATTTTCGGATCTTTTTTTTTTTTTATTTGTTTTTAAAATGGGTGCACATGGAGGAGATGGGCTGTGGGGGCGTCTTTCAAATATCTGTAGTAATTGGTCTTTAAATTTGCTCATCCCGTATGTTGTCATGATTTTATTGGTTTGAATCATCACTCCACTTAATAACTAGATTTTACTGAACACAAACACTAATTGATAACAACTATTCGATAAATTAGCATATTTTCTTGATCACTCTTTTACTTCTGTCTTTTTTGGTAGTGGAAGGGCAGAGGTTTATTCTTCTTCCAGTCCTTCAAAGGTGTCTTCCTCTCCATCTTCTTCCACGATTACTTATAATCTTTATTATCTTCATCCTTCTTATCACTCCCACCATCATCCTTATCTTTATCACCACCACCATCGCCACTGTTCTCACTTCCACCACGGTGGTCATCATTGCCATCATTTCTTCCTCCTTTGGTGATATCATGTTTTACCATTTTTCTTTCTTTGTAACGTATGCATCTGTATCATCGTAAAAAATGATATTTTTCGATGTAGGAGGTCTCAACATTTTCATTCATTATCATGTAAAATCTCTAGTGTTCTCCTCATATCATGTCATTTTACAATATAGCCTTTGAGACATGTATTGGAGTTGAATATTGTATCATTCATATCATACATGATCTTATGTCATATCAAGCATATCTTTTGACATATCATATCATGCATATATCATATCATAAAACACGTCACAACATATATTAAATCGTCAAACGTATTACACCATAATATATATCGTATAATCAACACGTCACATTATAACATTAATATATTATATCACAAACATATCATTATTCTAACCTTTCATAAACATATCATAGTCATATCATTTCATGGACATTTTATAATTATATTATTTCATAAACATATCATAATCATATCATTTCATGGACATTTTATAATTATATCATTTCATAAACATATCATTTTTATAAACATATCATAGTCATATCATTTCATAAACATATTACAACCATATCATTTTCATAAACATATCATTAATTATATCATTTCATAAACATATCATAGTCGTATCATTTTCATAAACATATCAGAGTCATATTATTTCATAAACATATCATAACCATATCAGTTATATCATATCATATTCACATCATTTCCTAAACACTTCTTAATCATCATTTCATAAACATATCACAGTCATATCATTTTCATAAACATATCACAGTCATATCATTTTCATAAACATATCAGTCATATCATTTTTCATAAACATATCACAGTCATATCATTTTCATAAACATATCACAGTCATATCATTTTCATAAACATATCACAGTCATATCATTTTCATAAACATATCACAGTCATATCATTTTCATAAACATATCACAGTCATATCATTTTATAAACATATCACAGTCATATCATTTTCATAAACATATCATAGTCATATCACTTCATGGACATTTCATAATTACATCATTTCATAAACATATAGTCATATCATTTTCATAAACATATCATAGTCATATCATTTCATAAACATATCAGTTATATCATATCATATTCACATCATTTCCTAAACATTTCATAATCATGGGGCACATGTCATCATGCAACATCAATTTGTAACCATACCGAAACTTGATTGGCCTAAGTCGAAGCTACTAAAACTCTTTGAGGCTGGTGTGACACATGTCATCATACATCAATTTCTAACCATACCGATAGTAAAGCCACTTGGTTGGTCTAGGCTGAAGCTACTACAACTTGATGCTAGCGTTAAGTACCACTTACTTGGTTGGCCAAGACTGAAGCTACTACAACTCCTTTTGATGCTAAAGTTACTTAAAACTATCCTCTGAAATTTAATTCTACAGGTGGAATTCAACCATCATAAATTAGAACTATGGAAATTGGCTCACCTAATTTTGTATGAAATAATTTAAACCTACTCCTAATCATTTAACCTATCTCATACTAATTTTACATAAAATAATTTAAATTTAATCTTAATAATTTAAATTACCTAATTTTACATTAAATAATTTAAATTTACTCTTGATAATTAAACTAGATAAGCAAACAATTTACACTTGACTCAAAAATTTTAAACCAGCTATATACATAAAAGTATGATCTACTAAAATAGTAAAGGAATGAAAGACAAAATATGCTGGAATATCTTCATTATTAAAAGTATGATCTACTAAAAGAGTATATGACAAAATATGCTGGAATATCTTCATTATTAAAAGTATGATCTACTAAAAGAGTATATGACAAAATATGCTGGAATATCGTATGATCTACTAAAAGAGTATATGACAAAATATACTGGAATATCGTATGATCTACTAAAAGAGTATATGAGAGGGAAGACAAAATCAATAAAAGTGAAAAGTATGGAAAAAAAAATTGAAGGAAAAAAAAAACAAGGGCAAAATTCGAATTCCAATTTTGAATTCTTGATAAAAAAAAATAAAAATTAAAAAGGACAAAAATTAATTAAGAAACAAATAAAACTCCAGAAACGGCGCATTATGCCTATATGCGATTCGATTGGCAAAGGGATGGTGTTGAGTCACAAATTATAGATAGAGAAAAAAAAAGACAGCAATTTTCTTTCTCCAAGCAGGTTAGAGATATTCTAATGTTTGTGATACTTATCAATTTTATTAATTTAAAAAATCAATGTAATCTTTTACGGATTAACTTATTTTATCAATCAAGACCTACCCATCTTTATACGTCATTAAACGACAAAATAACAATACTATATATATATATATATATATATATATATCAAAATTAAATGATAAAATAACCATACAATACAATACTATATATATATAGAACTTAATAACTTAGTTGAAAATACTTCATATTTTAATTTGATTAAGTAGACATGTTTGTTTAATAAATAAAACTTACTACACTTTACCAGCGATTGCTACCTGAAATGCAACGAGCGCTGATGAACAGAAGAAGCTTCGGTTTCCATTTTGAACGTTCCGAAGAACCTGCATACAAAGAGACACGAAAATAACCTACACAGTTCGATCTGTTCGCAATCAAGTCGAAGCAACCATGAGATCGAAAAAGTAAACGGTCAAGCTCGTAAAACTCATTCTCCAAAGAGAAAAACAAAGAAACAAGAAGGAAACGAACACTCAGGAAAAATCGAAAACCTAGAATCATCATTCACCTCTTCTTCCAGATCCGACAACCTAACTAGTAAGACACAGAAAAAAGAAGAACAAGAAGAATAACATAGAGAGAACCTAGAATCATCTCTTCCATACCTGAAGTGCAGCAGCAAAAGCTCAGCGATCGGGGCGAGAAGTTCTGAGGAAGGGCTGAAAGAAAACGAGCGGGAAAGTGTAAAAGGATGAAAAGGAAGATGGAGAAAAGAAAAACGTTTGCAAAAGCATTTAAGAAAAGAAAAAAATAATCTAAATATTTGATGACAAAAAACCTGGTGAATGTTGAATCTCATCTCATCTTTCATGAACTGACGGTCGAAGAAACTAGAGTTTAAAGAAGACGAGATATGATTTCAGTTTCTAATCATTTGCATTATAATAATTAAAATAATCACGACATGTCGTTTTAGGTTTCTAACATTTTGAAAGCAAAAAGAAATAAAAATCATAACAGAATTAGAAGAAAATTTATGGAAACAGAATCACTGTACCAAACACGATTGTCAACGAAGTTGAAAGAACAAAGAGCGGTAGCTTCACATGAGATTAAGCAAGCAACTCGGCCATGGTCATAAGGCAAAGCAGCGAGGCTAAAATGCCTCCGGCGCACGTTAGCGGCAAGCGCTGATGAAAGCAAGAAGTTTCGGTTTCCATTGTTGTACGGCTGAAGAACCTGCAAACAAAGAGAACACGAAAACAACCCACACCGTAAGATCCGTTCGCAATCCAGTCGAAGCAACCATGAGATCGTAAAATAAAACAGTCGAGAAAGTAAAACTCATTCTGCAAAGAGAGGAAACATAGAAACAAGAAGAAAACGAACACTCAAACAAGATCAAAATCATCATTGATCTCATCCACGTCTGAAAAACTAATTACTAAGAAACAGAAAAAGGAAAAACAAGAAGAAGAACATAGAAAGAACCTAGAATCATCTCTTCCATACCTGAAGTGCAGCAGCAAAATCTCAGCGAAAGAAAACGAGCGATAAAATAGCGGGAAAGTGAAAGAAAATGAGGCTTCCCTGGAGGAGCTTTGTTTTTAAAGCTGTGCGGCGTTTATAGCACAAGTTCTAGACTATGATAGAAGCTGAGACGGCCCACTGTAAGAAACGAGTGGGCCTTGAGATTCAAGCGAAGCCCAATAGGAACTCCAAACATTTGGGCCGGAGAAGGCCCATATTTTCGTTTCAAGTAATGGAGCGTAGCCCATAGTCGTTGGAAGTGATTGATGTGCTTGTACATCCAAAAACAAATGTTTTTATTTAAAAATAATAATTAAAAATATTAAAAATATACCACATGCTTTGCACATAACATGGTATTACAAGTTTATGCATTTATATCAATTACTATAATATCTCAATTAACAAAAGCATTATATCTTCAATTAAAATATTTATTCCTTGGATTTATTAGCTTATCGTGTACCAATTGAACTCCTCTTTTTCTCCGAAATTATTTTAAAAATAAAAAATAAAAGTATTTAAAGACTCCAAAAGTGTGTATATATATTAATAATTTAAAATTAACTATTAACGTTTTTTTTTCTCAGATTATTTTGGTTTATTTTAATTATAAAAAGAAATAATAAAAATAAAAAACACAAAACATATGCCTCTAGGTTACTCAATTATTAGGCTCTTCCTTAGTTAAGAATCTAAATGGGTTTTATTTTTTTGAAGAAAAAAAAATCACTTCATAGAGACCACGTGGAGACAACAGAAAATAGGAAGAAATAATTTTTTTTTTAAAAAGGAAAAAAAAAAGAGAGAGAAAGCAATTACAACGGTTGAGAGTGTTTCCTTGTCTTGCACCACCAAATACTACATTCCAAGAATAGATTGCATTTTAACATTCCCTTTGACTATTAATCAATCAATTAATTAATTAATGCACCCTCTATCTTTATTACGGATGATTGCATAAATTATTTTATTATTAATACAGGAATTTAAGAGAACCAACAACAAAAGTATAGAATTAAGGAAGCAGAACATCCCATTATAACTCCATAAATGATTAAATTCTTTGTCTGTCTCTAATTATTAATTAATTCACACTAATTTATTATTTTTTTTTCTCAGTTATAGGTAAATTATTCATAAGTAATTATTCTCAAATAAGTAAAAAAAAAATCTACCACGAGTAAAAGAATTATATTAACAGTTTTAGAATATAAATTTAATAGACATTGAGAATCTAAATAATGTAGGTTTTTATTCGGATGGGTATTATTTTTGTATAAATTAATTGATTAATTTCACGTGGAAAAACCAAAAAATAAAATTGAATTAAAAAAGGGGACCCAAAGAATTTAATAATTATTTAATCAAGTGAGGATATTTTGTGAAATTCAGGGTCAGCTGTGCCATATTCTATATTCAATGAAGGATATGAAAAGATTCTGTTCGTAAATTAGGAGAGAGAGAGGGATAGATTCTGTAGGGTTTTCTTGGTTTAATAATGCAAGTGTTTATAACACCAATATATATAGTAAAGAATATAATACACTTTTCCCTCCTATGCTCTCCAAACTAATAATTTAATCCCTTAACGTGTCACACTGTATATTATAAAGATTCAGTCCGCATAAATTAAATTTTTGTCAATATTTAATGAGCATTTTTCTTATCCCATAAAAAATCCAAATAGTAGAAAAAATTATTGTGTATTTTTAAAAGATTACGCGTAGCTTAAAAGGCAAGCCGTACACGTTAGTTTTTTTCCTATATATATAAAAAAGGCGTAAATGTAAATGCAAATAAAAAAAGAGGCAAGAGAGAGAGAGATTAAAGCGAGTTAGTTATTAAGCTATTTAATAATAAAATCGAAAGTGTTTCATAGAGGAGATAGTGTGTTGGACATTGCATTGTAAGCATTATTATTTATTAATTGATCTAAGAAAATGATAAATATCGCAAAAAGAAAATAAAAAGCAAAAGAAGCTTGCTTCCTTTCTTTTCTTTCTTTCTCCCCTTTTTTTTCCCTTTTCACTAACTCATTTATTTACTTCACCGTCTCTATTTTACCAATTAAATGCTCAATCAGTTTAAATATAATTTAATTGGAATAAAATTAAATACGTTCAAATATTATTATTATAGATAAAATACTGATGAGACTATTTTGAAAGCAAAATTTAAAAAATATATATATATACAATTTCGCCCGGATTAAAATTATACATTTTTTAACTTATGGCAAACTTGTTAATGTCCAGACAAACAAACTATAGCATACTATTGATATTATTGATGAATGGATATTTATGGGATAAGATTTGATTTAATTAGCAGGATATAGTTGGATAAGGTAAGTAGATAAAATTGTTTGACTTTTGACTTTTAAAAATTTTAATTAAAAATAAAATAATTTTACAGTATAATGCTAATTCAAGAAAAAAATTGTTTAACGAATAGGCTGCCTTTATATATAAATAAATATATATAAAAGAATTGTGCATATTTAGTTTGAAAAAAGTGGTGAATTTGTATACATTTGTGGCACCTGAACAAAGGGCTCTTTTTCTTTTTCCTTTTTAATTATTTACTAATTGAATTTGCAGTTGAAAAGAAATAAAGACGCAAGGAGATAAGGGAAAAAAAGAAGGAAAAAGAAAAAGAGAGAGAAAAAAAAGATAGGATGGTGGTGGACGAGTCAGTTCAAATATAGATGGAGTAATGCTCCTCCATCCAATAAGTGCACAAAGAAGCTTTTTTAATTTTTAATTTTTATTTTAGCATCTTCTTTTATATTTTGCTTCAAATAGGAAAAAATAAAAGAAATCAAAACTCTTTCCAATTGATTATAATATATATATATATATCAAATAAATTTAAATTTTAAAACGTGTTAAATTTTTTTGTTTAATCGGTTATTTAATATATTCTTCAACTTTAAATACACACAATAGAATTTAAATATAATTTTTTATATTTAATAAGTTAGATATATTAGATAAAAGTATCCTACTATTTTTATTTTGTCAAATAAAGTTTGTAATTTAAATTTAAAAATAATAAATAAATCATGTCTGGTTAGAAATAAAATTTAAAAATTATTATATATATATATATATATATTATTCCTTCATGAATATTACATTATTACAACAAATTATAATTTTCCAGAAAATAATATATTCGACATTTGTTTCAATGTATGAAAATCAATTACCTTTCCAGCAGTTGATCAAAGATTCGAAACTTCATTTCCTTCTTACTTTCAATCTGAATTGTCGGTGTTTTTCTTGCTCATCAAATGTTTAATTAAAACTATCCTTAATCGTCCAAAGTGTAATTTACTTTATTTAAATATAATATATTTCTTAACTCCCCCTTGTCACATAATGCTTAGAAGCTTAAATCAAGAGTTAGTTTGAAAGTTTGGAGAAATTTTGTTATTGGGCTTGTTTTGATTAAAAGAAAAAAACAGAAGCATTATTGGACTATTAGGGCATTGAGGATTTTGTGTTTGAAGCTTCGAAGCTTCGAATCTATGGCGGGAATGGATGGTTCGTGCGATCTCGCGGAACTCAGTAGAAGAGTTGACGATGCTGATTCGAATATGGGAAGGACGATCCAAATTTCATGGCCGAATCGGTCAGGGCCCGGGCAGCTTTAGAAGTTTATTCCAAAAAGTTACTTGCAGTTTCGGCCATAGAAATCAACCTCGGGACTGCAGATTCATGGCGGGCAGACAGAAATGGCAACGTCGGCGGAAAATGCACGTTAGATCGACGGAAAGAGAGGCGTAGGGTAAGAAATAACGTAGAATTATTGGGGGTTTTTGTGTTTTGGAGAATCCGTTTAGTTGTGATGGCGAGGTAGCTTAACCTTAACCCTCCAATGGTGGAAAGTGAGGTCATAGCGACGTTAACAGCTGATTGACGGTAGAATTTAGCGCTAAAAAACAAAGGGAAAAAAGTGGAAGAGAAGAGGGAGCCGAGTGGGCGGGATGAAGAAAAAGTTAAAAATAAACTTGTATATATATGTGATGGGTTCTCTATCCTTTTTTTTCCATTGTTGAGTTGCTTTCTCGTTTCTTTGTGTTTCTTTCCAACTCATAGGGAAGTGGATGAGCGAGGAACTTCATTTCATATCTTATTATCTTTTGAAGGCGGCATCGTTTCCACACCGGGTTTGATCTGCCCACTATTTCAGACCTCTCTGTGGTCATTTTCTACTGTTATTTTAACTTAGATTCAGGTATCTCGAATTGTTTCATCATGAAACAAAACCTCTGTTCTTCCTTTTCTTCTTCTTCTTCTTCTCTGGCTTTGGCTAGCGCTTCAAGACTGGTTTGAATATTTCTTTTCAGAATTGAATTTATCCCCTTCTTCCCCCTGCTTTGCTGTGCATCTTCTTGTGTTTATTTGTTATTGATTTGCAGTACATGTGGGAGTCTCTTGCTATAAGCTTCTTTCCATAATTGTAAGGGGATGGGACTTTGAAGCTGTGTTCATTCATGTTTGCTTCTTTTGATCTTTTCTCCTCATAGACCCAGTTGTTGTTTTTGTTTTTGAATGAAAGCAGGCTATTAGAAATGTAATAGTTTCTATAGAACGATCCATATTTTGTATTGGGTCCTTAGATAATACTTCTCTAAATCCAATTGTTTCTTCCCCCTTTTTTTTTTTTGTTGGGGTTCTTCAATTCTATCAATTATTCTGTATGGCATACCTTTTTTCAAAATTGAAGGATGGCTGAATTGTCTTTTTCAGTTCTTAATTTGTTTCCCTTTTCCATCTTTTCAGTCCATTTTACTCTTATGATTAGTCAACAGAGTATGAGCTCTTCATCCACTCAACTCTATGCTTCAAATATGGGTATCTATGAGCCATTTTACCAGATCAACTCATGGGGAAACGCCTACAGTCGTCCACTTTTATCGCCTATTATAAAAGTGGATGACTGTGTAGACAATAAAGTGAGAACACTGTCTTTGTTCTTGTTAGAAAACCTGAGTTCCAAGGTTATCATCTTGTTGGATTCTAGTAATTTTTGTTTTCTGAGTT